GAACTATTCAAATACAAAAATAATTGAATTCAAAACATTTGAGATCAATTGAGTTATCGTAATCTGCCTATCGTTAAATATAATTTAAAACTATGCAGTTGATAAGTATGAACATTCTTTGAACATCTTGAGTATCTATAACTGAGTATTTATTATCAAAATTAAATATAGAATGACTGCTGCACTATAAAGATTTTCTAGACATAATATCTCAAGAATAATCCCCGTGTTAAATCTAATTTTATGTGATATTTATTTGCTAGGTGCCAAGGAAAACCTGAGAAGAGAAAAACTGTATTCGTCTTAGAATACAGTAGCTTGGAAATGAACCGAGTTTTTAACAAAAAGAAACTGTTCGCATTACTATTGAAAGTTTAAATTGTCCAGTTTAATAAAAAAAACAAAAAAGAATAATATTCAAATATAAAGAGTTTTAAAGATAATGTTTTTACAACATTTTAGCCTAAAATGTAATAAATAATTCATTGATAGAAACGAAAGTTTTATGTTTACAAATGGTGATGGCTCATTAAAATAAAGCAATTTTTCGATAGTTTTCGAGTAAGATTATGATATTTTAATACAATATAGGACAGAGAAGAAACAATTATCGTATAGAATAATTTTGAATTTGTTACATCTATTTATTAATAAATATTATTCATAGAATAAATCAAGTCATCCATAATGTTATAATCTGATAGAAAGAAATGATGATATGAAATTTGTTGAGATAAATTATCCAGAACGTTTTTTGTATATTGTTTACATTTGATTCATAGCTGAGGAGAATATCATCATTAATTATAGTATGTTTTCTTTTGAAAGAATATTTCTCACTTTCTTTTACAAATAAACAAATTTCCTGTTCTTCTCGCATTTGACCAAAACTAAATAAAACAAATAGAAGAGAAAAGAACAGAAAAGAAAGTTTCATTTTGAATATATTCTCTAAAAAAGAATGTGGTCAGTTATATTATTAATTCTTAAATTAATAAGTATATCAGTATCAAATGAAGAGAGAAATAATTGTTATTTCACTGTGTTTTATTCCAATGGAAAGCGATCTTATTGTATAGATGAACAATGTTATCATCATTTAGATATAATATCATTAAAAGATCGGCAATGTCGAACTAATTATTTATCACTTCAATTTTCATCTTATTTAACATACAAAAAATTTCTTCAATCAACATTATTGAAAAATTCACTTAGTTATTATTTTTCAAAAGCGCGTCCCAATGTCGAACGTCTTCTTCGAATTGAATTTCTTTCACCGTTTCTAAATGATGATCCATTTCAACTTGATCAATTACGTTTATTAGCTAATTCTATATCAAACATTGATACATACGAATTCATTTTTAATGAAAATATTACAATAAATAATTTAACATTATTTATTGATCAAGATATGTTTAGCAGTAGTGATCAACAAATAATTGATAGATTAACATTAAGATTTAGTTGTACTCATATTCAAAGAGTAGAATGGCAATTAATTAAATCTATTCAAAGTTTTCCGAATTCTCCGTGCCCTCAACAAATTCAATTAAAAAAAAAAGATTTTCGTCAAAAAGAATTTTCTTCAAATTTAATTATTTTAGTAAGTTTTCTATTTTCATTATTTAGTAAAAGTCAAAACAAAGAAGATAATTAATTTTTGTTTTTTAGGCAAGTATTACTACACTTGTGAGTATTACCATAATTATTCTTGTTCTAATTGGTTCATTTTTATATAATTATGATTTTAATGATCAATTAAAACAAAATACTAAATCAAATAGTCGAACAGACTTAATAACAATTATTGAAAAATTTTGAACTCAACAAATATTAGTTAAAGGCAAAAAAAGAAAAAATTGTTTTTATTATTTTGATAATAAACTAAAAACGAAATGAAGATGATATTGGCGTAAAATGTTGTTGTCCAAATAAAGAATGATTATCTAAACTAATTCTTTCATAAATATCATTGCGTTTATTTGTAAATTGATTCTTTGTGTGGTGATGGTAACCGAGAGATTTTATAGGGTTTTGCGTTTGATCCATATGATGAACATTCTCTGCAATAATTGAACTAACAAATAATTATTTTTTACAAATATTTGATATATTAAAGTTTTTTCTTTTCAAATGAATTTCTATCAAACAAGAAAAAATAGTGGAAATATTTAATCTTCTATTTTTTGATTAATTCAATTTCTATCTGATTAAATTTATTCAAATAAGGAAATTTTCAAAATAATTTCTCAAATCTCAAATCACCTTGAATAGAATCTTCAATTTCTTCTTTATCTTGGAGATATTTTATTGTATGGAGAAAAATAAGAAAGAGATTCATCGTTTTTTTTTAATAAATAAAATTACCTATTATTCATTTGAACATCATTTGATAAACTGGGAATCGATGAACATGAAGGTGTACTGGGTTTTGTTAAATCCATATTTGAACATTGTTTAATAAGAATTTTTTCATAAATTAATATTAAACCAATCAATAAAAACAATGCTATTAATATTGGTATTAATATCTTAATTTATTTGTTTCATGTTAAAAAATAAAAACAAATTAATAAATCAAGTTTAACTTACAGCTAATAATAAATTCGTGAATTCATGATTATTTCTATAGAATTTTTGATTAGTAGAAGATATCAATGAAGAATATTCAAAATTAGTTGATAGAAGATTTTCTTTTTCTTTTGTAAATAAAGGACGTTGAGGGGCAAATGGTGATGGAGGAAGAATTTTAATTGAACATCGATTTTCTTGATATACCATTAAGGAATTACAAATACTGAAAAACAAAATTCATAGAATCAATTTAGTTTTTGATCTTATCTATATTCTATTGTTCAAAAACGCGTTTGATCCAACAATATTCAAATTAAACCAACTTATGAAAATTTATTATTGCTCTTATATAGAAACTATGTCAACATTAGCTAATTAATATTATTATTTTTTTTTCATCAACATATATATTAAATAACAGTTTAAAATCAATTATTCCTTCAAAATTTCTATTCAACAGATTTTTTTATTTTCATATGAAAGAAAGAATAATTATTAACTTGTCAATCATAATAAAATTCTTTTTATTTGTCGAAACTCTTAATTTTTTGTTAAACGAAAGAAATAATTCATTAGAAAATCATGATATTAGATTAGTAATGCTACGTAAAAGTTTTCAAGAGAAAAGAAATAAAGAACTTTAAAACACAAAATGATTTTTGTTCTCTCTTACAATTCAACTTTGACAATAAACCATTGAGGATAATTTTGATCATAATGTATAAATCCATGAAGTTTATTATTATTTGTCATATTTTTAATAAATAGTTCATATAAATCAATATAAACACCTAAACGAATCAATTCATTATGATCAGTTGGTTGATCATCATTATCTATATAATTAATAAATATTCTTAATAAACGAATTTGATTATTTAATTTTGATGGAAATAAATCACCTAATTTCCACTGAATTCGGTTTACAAATAAACTAAAATTTTTATATGATGAAAATGATAAATAAAGTAATTCTGTTTTACAATTATTTGGTTTAACCATAATTTCATATGGATCCATATATTTATTACATTGATCACTAAGACATATATTAAAACTACTATCTGATTTACTAACTATATAATTACATAGATTATCTATTGTATTAACTTCAAATGATTTTATTAAAATAACTAAAAACGAAATAATCGACCATTGAAACATAATTAATCTATGAGAAATAAACTTGGAATGTTAAAAATCAATTTTTATCTTCTCGTTTTTTTTTTCATTTGAATATTCATCAAACATACCAAACATTCTTTTCTTTGCATCATTATTATTAACACATACATTTATTATAACATTAACAAAAGCAGATTTATCTATGAATTAATCAATAATAATATGAATAAATCTTTGCTTTAATTAATTTATTAGAAAATTCAAATAGTATTTTTTTCCTATCTTCAATTTACAAAATTAACTGAAGATAAACAAAGCTGTTGTGTTATGTTTTTCAATTAAAATAAGATAGATAAAATTAAAAATGATATCAAATAGATAATTTATTTTACAGTTAACATATTTTCTTAAGAAATAAAAGACGAAGTATTGTTTATCTGTTAAACATTATCTTATTGATAAAAAAGATCGCTCCTAATTGTGAAGAGATCGTTATCAGACGTAAAACTTTTGCTTCTTTTCTCATAGTGTTTATGTTGTATTTGAATGAATCGATCATCATTAATCATCTATAGAAAATTCTCGATTAAAATAATATCTGAACAATTTTTCTTTAATTTATAGAAAAAAATGTGTATATTTTTTTAACAGACAAAAGTAGAGAGAGAGAGGGAGAGAGAGAGAAATGTGCTCGTTCTTTTTAATATACGTACATGTAAAAATTTAGATAAGATAGATATTGAGGACGTGAGATCCATCATATTGTCTTATTTTTCAAAACGATAGGTTAGCTTGTTTTGTTTTAAATGGAAGAAGAATATGTATCAGAAATTATACTTGAATTACAACCAAGGTTTTTTCTTCTTTATTTACAATGATAAAAAGAAATGATTTTTTGTTTTGTTATATAGGTCTCATCGAGGTTATCGTCGTTTATTTGGAATTCGTGAAAATAAATTTTTCAATAAAGAACTATTTAATAGAAATGATTTTACGAAAGATTTTATTAATAAATATAATAGAAAAGTTCTTCAACGAGGGCAACATGTAATTCAACTTATATTCTTATTATTTTAATTTCTCTTTTCTTTTTCTTAGATTGAATGTAATGATTTAATGGTAGAAGTTAAACAAGTTATAAGTAATATGGAAATAAATTTAGCAATTCTATTCAAATTCTATTTAACATTTGAATATTAGGAGCTTCTTCGACATTTACAGGAACAACTCAAATCGAATTTCGATTAAAAGGTCGTCCATTGACGTAAGTTTTTCTCTGTTTTATTTTATCTCTAAGAAAAAAGGTTCTTTTCTATTTTCTTTTCAAATAGAACTGGAGAAAAAACTTGTGTTAATAGTAAAATAATCGATAATAAAGGAACATTAAATGAATCTTTTATCAATGAACTACTTTATGTAAATCTTTTTAGAATTATTATTTTATTTATTTATTGTTCTCATCCGATTCAATTTAAGATTAAAATAGGTTTCTATTCATTTTTTAAAGCAAAAACTATTTTAAGTTTCTTTCTGTTTTTTAATGAATTATTTATTGAGAAATAATTTAATAGGATAAATAAATATTTTGTTGACTAAATAAATATCTACGTTTAGAAAAATCGTCAAACAAATATTGATGTTCAAGTTGAACAAGTTTATTCGTATGTTAAAATTTTATTTTCTATAAATAAATTAGAGCAATAACAATGAAATCTTATTGAATAAATTTAGTTGCTATTGTTCAGAATGTAAAAAAAGTTTAAATCAAGGAGATTTATATGTGAAAAGTGGAAATTGGAGTCGACCGATTCTTTGTTTATCCTGTTATGATTTATTATTTACTCATAAATGTGCTCGTTGTAATAAATTAATAACTTTTGATCGTAAAAAAAAATAATATTTTATTTGAATTATTTTTTAACAAGACAAAATCTATTTAGATGATTCATTAACATCAGATGGTTTAACTTATGTTCGCTTTGTTCAACATAACGAATTTTATTGGCATTCTGATTGCTGCGTTTGTGTAACATGTTTACAATCTTTAATTGGACTTAAGTTTTATCAAGATCAGATTTATAATCAATTATTTTGTCTTGAACATATTCCTTCTCAATTAGAATAAAAATATATTCTTTTCTTTCTTGTTTTGCTTTTCCATTAAAAGAAAAAAAGATAAATCTTACGTTGGCGTTTCTTCTTTTTTATTCATTGAATAAAAACAATAACAAGGATTTGTACGAATAGCGAGGATTTACTTTTGCAATTCTTTGGTTTTTCTTATTTAAATAAAGCGTTGGTGTATCAAAGAATAAAAATCTTTACAAACATACTATATCTTCTCATTCTATTAGATTATTTTAATGTTGAAACAAAATTGAACTTATTATTCATTTAATAAGTACAACTCGTTTCTTTTCCTTGCTTTTCATTTTCTTAAAATATTTCAGTGACATATGAAAATTGAAGTAATCAATCACCATCATCATCATCATCATCATTGTCATCGAGAAATATTTATCTAGTTTTTGTTAAGAAAAAAAAAGCACGAACTTCTATAAATTCTTTTATTTGAAATTTGATTTTATATTTAAAATGAAGAGAGATTATAATTACAATTATAATTTCATTTATTTTAGTAATAAATAAAAACAAAACTTTTGTTCTAGAAACCTTCTGTATCTTCTTTTTCAATCATCGATGAATAAAATTCTTCTTCTATTAATATTATTTTCGGCCTGGAAAATAAATGAAAGCCGTTTTGTTTGGGACTTTGGTACATATTGTTTAAATTATTGTGCAAAAGTTAAATATAAATTTGCTGCTGTAAGTATTTGTTCATGCCAATGGATTTCATCAAATCATCGACGATCAACAACTAATACAATATCACAAATAAAGAATGATCAGCCTTTTAAAATAAAAACATTTTTTATCAAGTAAAATTATTCTATTTTTTTTTCAATACGGAAAATAAATTATTCAAACATTCGAATAGAACAATGATATTCATTTTTTCTTATTGTCTTTATTGTGAAATTAAATTCTTATCAAAACATGTCAACAGATATTTAAAAAAAATTCTATTCAATACAAATAATAAAAATAAAATATTGATTCTTTTACGGAGACGAAATTCGAATAGAAAATGTTTTGTATAAATTTAAATTACTAGTAGAAAAAATTTGATTAACTACTATTGAAAGATTTCATGTTTTAATAGGTTTTACAACTGAACATATTTTTATTTAAATACATTTTATACCTAAAACTTTATAAAAGCATAACTCTTGATTAATCATTGTTTATATTATTAGTCAAACAATATTATTTAGGTCACCTGGTGATTTTGTTTCTATAGAAATTTTTAGAGTGAAATTATTCCGAAAATTATAATCAATGAGAATTCTTTAAATTAATAAGAAATACCTAGTGAATTATTAAATAAAAGCTCATTGGAAAATAATATTTCTTCTTTTGGATTATGACGAATTTCGTGCATACAGATGAAATCGACTTATCCTTCAGATAGGTAAACTAAAAAATTTCTATTAATGATTTTCTAGAAATTTGAAGTGATGATGAAATAATTTTGAGATTAAAATAAATCTTTATTGTTAAAAGATAATAGATAGAAAATTTAATCATAAAAATAATAATATTTTAATAGATGAAAAAGAAAATAGCTATTATTTAAATTGATTTCTGTATGAAAACAAAAATCGGATCAATAAATTGATTAGGTGCTTAACATTTTTCTAAATAATTTGTGTTGAAATATAAAATAAAGATAAAATTTTCTTTAAAATCTTTCTGATCTCTGAATAAGTTGTTGATCTTCATAATCTTGATTAAAATCAAATGAAATCAATTGTTGAAATAAAATTTCATCATTAAGAATTTCATCAGTAAATTGATTCCAATTAATTTTCTCATTTTTACTAATATTCTTTCTTTGAAAAATAATATCAATAACTTCAGTTATATGTAATTTGGATGATGGAATATCAAAAAGATCAAAAAGATTTCTTAAGAATTCTTTTAATTGATTTCTTAAGAAAAATTTTTCTTTATAATTATTATTGTATAAATTAAATATGAACTTAACTTTATCATTAATTGATCCATCATTAGTTAGAATATTAAATAAAATAAATTCAGAAAAATCTAATTTTTTATCTTTATTTAAATCAAATAGATCAAATAATTCATTTATTAATGGTCTCAATTGTAAACTATGTTCATCACATAATTGTTGATAATAATTCACAAATTTTCGACGTGATAAATATCCATGTGGATAACAATGAACAAAACGTAAATAATATTGTCGAATATCTTCAGGAGTTAAATTTGTTTTTAATGATAAACTATTTATTTCTTCGGTTGTTAACAATGGTGGAAGTTGAGATCGAAAACAAGCAGATGAACCACCCATTTTTGTTTAATTATTTAGAATTAAAATTATTATTTTTTTGTTTGTTCAGAATCATCGTTGTCACGAAATAACATTTACTGGATTGATTCTACTGAAAAATTTTTAGAATACTTTCTTTTATTTGTCTGTATATCATTTCTTTAAAATATTCTATTCTATATAATAAACGAAG